ATGTGCTTGGCTCTTAGTCCAACCTTTCTTCCTCAACCCGAAAGAAAAACCCACCGCCATTACTCAAAAGTCTGTCTCGTTCACTTAGTAAACTGAAACATCAGCCGAGCTTTTCCCTTTAATTTCATCTCTAAATCTCATCTGCTTCCAATCCGCGTCCTGAACAGTCAAACAGCCAGAAAATAACGTTTCACACAGATAAAATATCTAAAACGGAATAAATCAGTGCGAAAACAAAGCCAGTGGTGGGGGAATGTTTCAACAAGGCGACACTGTGCAGCAATTACAGATCAGACCTTTCACAGCAAACGCCTCACATACCAGCATACTAACAATTCTCCACATGCGTGTGTGTGTGTGCACGTGAATGTTTTTAGTGTGTGTGTGTGTGTCTGTATTGATCTCCGAGTATCGGGTGAGCTGTCCTTTGAGGAAAGAAGGGAAATGAAAGAAAAAGAATGAAACGGGAAGGGGAGACACAGATCGATGCAGCGGAGAATAGAAAGCACCAAGTGAGGATGAGGGAAACGTTTTGGCCATGCACACACGCGCGCACACACGCGCGCGCACACACACACACACACACACACACACGCTCGGATGGAAATTACAAACGACTTTGGGTGTTTGTTTCTGCTTTCGTCTCTTTTTAATCTTTCACTATTTCCGAGCCGACTCCCCTTCTCCTCCCGTCTCGTATCCTTTGCAAAACTCTTTTTAATTTTTCAAAATAAAAGATGTCTTCATATAAACTAAATGCATTGCATTTGAATCCAAATTATTGCCGACTTGATGTTTTAACCAGTGAAACCGTACACTTTAAAGCTAATAAACACTTTCTGTCAACAATAAGCCACATCCCAGATGGAGACGTGTAATAAAACATGCATAAGCGCACATCTTCGCAAAGGCATCTGCGATATCAGGTCTGCAGCCTTTTCCTCCATTCTACAAACGCATGGAGGAGAGGAGATGTTGGTAATAAAATATACCCACCAGATATCTTTATTTTATGAGGATATAAATAAGTCCCAGGCTTAAATTGCAGCAATTATAACCATTTAATTTTGCATTCATTAGTTTCCTCGACATACGTTGTGTTGCTCAGGTTTGCATGAGATTAAAAAATCACTAAAAAATTAGAAAGAGTTCATTTTATGTTTGTTTTGAAACTGAATCCGGGTCTCTAGTGTCCAACAGCAAGATGTTCTGCTCAAGATGGGTAGCGCAAAGTCTGGCTGGTGGCCTGCTTTTGGCCCGACCTTGCACAGATGGTTCAAACAGACGGATGTTTAAAAATACATTTTAGGGTGAGATATTTACTCACACAAAATTCAGGCCTAGTCCACACGTAGCCGGGTTTTTTAAAAACGAATATCCGCCCCTCCCAAAACTTGCATCCACACCACCTCGTTTAAAAAAAAACTCTGTCCACACGTACCCGGATAAATACGTTGTTAAGGACATGCCAGACCTGTAGGCGGCAGTACTTCCCCCGTTCTTAACCTCGTCCTTCGTCTGTGGTCTTCCGCAAGGAGCAGTAATTCCGCTTTCAAAAACAAACAAGCAGAAAGCGCTTGGACAATTGATGGATCGGGTAGAGAACAGAGCGCAGCTCCGAGGGCTTCCATGATGCCGGCTAGTGTAAACACAGGTCGCACGCGTGATGTCAGCATTTTTTTGTCGCGGAAAGTGACGTTGCGGACCTTAAAACTCCGGTTTTGTCCGTCCACACGCAGACACCCAAAACGGAGAAAACGCAGATCTTCACTTTGGCCGGAGTTTTTAAAAAACTCAGTTTTTGTGTGGATGACAGGCCAAAACGTAGAAAAATATCTACGTTTTGGCAGATCCCCGGCTACGTGTGGACAGGGCCTCAGATAAAATACAATATTTGTTTACAAATACAGGGCAATCCTGGTCCTCGAGGCTATCCAGCATGTTTTAGTTGTTTCTCTGCGTCATCTGCTGGTGATCAACAGGCTGGTGCAGAGCCTGATGAGCTGCTGAACACGTGATTCATCCAGGGTTCAGGTGTGTTGGAGCAGGAAAACAAAGACATGCTGGAAGGTGACCCTGAAGGATCAGGATTGCCCACCACTCTTTTACACCTCAATTATTTTGACATCTTAATGATTTTTTATTCGCCAACACTGCATCATAGCCTCGTGTAGTACCGCCATGTGACTCAGGGGGTGATAGTGAGTCCCTTAGCTTCCACTTTGTATGTTTTCTAAACTGAAATCCTCATTTTCGTTCACCGATTTAAACCATCTGCTAAGCATCTTGAAAGGATGAAGTCCATGAAGGCAAATACAGAAAAGTCAGAAAAACTAGACAAATCATCATGAATTATAGAAGCAGCAATCCGAAGCTTTCAGGAATTATGCATAATTTTTTAGGCGTCAGTAAAAATATTTAAAAAAATTATATATATATAATGTTAGCAACTTTTCCATTTTTATTTTTGTTGAGGCCGCCCACCATCCTTAAGGGCCACATGTAATTTTACTTGATGAACCGCGCAACATTAGCCAATAGCATCAGACATCCGCTTACGTCCAGATGTCAATTACAAAGCTGCAAAGACGAGCTAATTCACGGAGCAGCTACAGACGCCTTCACAGCCACAAAATTAATGATTCCACGATGGCCTTTTTTGCTCAGACTAACGTAAAGAAAAGTCTGCAGACTAAAGTTGCCAAAAAATGCCTGAAAGGCTGTGAAAACGACCTTGAATCTGTCTATGGGTCGTGGCTGGACTATAAATTCACATATATAGGATGGCTTGCACAGATAACAAAGAGTTTAATGTGAGAATAATCATGTAGAACAATGTGTGGCCAACTAGTAGTGGTGTGCATCTCTACCTGCCTCACGATTCGATCCGATTATCTGCCTAACGATTCGATTTGAGTCTGAAATGCATCACGATTCTTCACACAAAAATGTTCATTACTTAATAAAAGCAGTAGAATAGTTTTCAATTTCTTTTTGATTTCGAAATCCCTGAAAAACAGAACATTCATCTATTCACTATAGTGAGCAATAATGTTTAAAGTGTGCTGCCTATAATTACTTAAATAATATAAGAAATAACGTTTTCGGTAGAGCAGCTTTAAGATAGAATATTACTGAACTTAAAAATAGTAAACAAATACTGGGTTAAGTGATTCTTTCACATCCAGGATCCCAAAACCAAAATTTGCCCACACATCCGATTTAAATGCAACGGGTACATCTTTGATCACTGGTAATGTTGGCCCTGTATCCCTGTCCACCTTTTCTGTTTTACATTGGCGCTAGGGCAATGCAGTGCGCATGTCATTGCAGAAAACAACCTTGAATCTGTCTATGGGTCGTGGCTGGACTATAAATTCACATATATAGGATGGCTTGCACGGATAATAAAGAGTTTAATGTGAGAATAATCATGTAGAACAATGTTTGGCCAACTAGAGGTGCGTGTTCACGAATGAGGCATTGCTTCCAGCTAAATCACGACAGTAGGGGGATGGGCTTGAAGGTGCAATACAATTTCTGGCCTCTAGATGGTGTCCTCTGAAGAAAAAACTAATTTGCTTCAATGCTGCATGCTAGCTCTAAATCTCTTTTGAGCATTCTGTTAATTTCATAAAAGCAGGGATGTAGATGTTCCATGCAGAGAAAATAGAAGATCTCCACTCGTCTAAACCCTCCCGTTCTTCCTAAGGCAGGCTCCGTTTTTATTCCAGGGCCAGTCTCCCACTCCTTCAGACAGCCCCACCCACAGTAATGAGTAAACTTCTTTCTGCCCCACCCTGGCCAGCCTGCCAACGCACGCACACACACACACACACACACACATCTGCAACAGGCCACACCACAACATGCACAAAGAAGCCATAGACTGGAATATTACGCTCACATCAGTCCCACCCCTCTCCCACTGAATACGGCCCCTGTCAGAGCGCCGACACCACATACGCACCAGCACACAACCGTCTTTTCTGATCTAATGTGATCAGAGCAAATAAGCTCTGCGGCGCGGGCCAACCACAAGCTGCTCCTGCCAGTCCATGACATCACTGCCGAGTGAAAAGCACTATGGTCCACGAAGCCGGGCGAGAGAACTGCGTGACAGGTGGTAACCATGAGAACTGTCAGTTTGCCTCCTCATTTCCACGCTGACGGGAATGTTTCTCCATGTCACATTTTAACACTGGAAAAAGAGGAGCTGATAGGAAAAGGCATTACGTCACAGAATGAACCAGATATGATGCGAGAGGAGACGCTAGCAGCAGTTTTTGTGTAAAACTTGTAAATGTGATTTGTTGGAGCTCATCGTGTAATATCTAATCCTCCCATCTGACTTCAAATAAATAACGATTTAAAGATGAAAGCGCTTTAAGGTTATTGTTCCCAACAGGAATACGGAAACCAGACGCGAGGAGATGTTTTATTCTTCGCTATAAATCTACAGGGCTGACCCCCACAGATTTCCATTTCTCTTCCTCTTTTCCTCAGCAAACAAATTTCACTGTCAGACGAAGAGAATCTGAGCAAAATAGTTTTCAAATTTTGATTTCATTCATGAAAGAACACAAAGGTACCTAAAAACAACCTGGGAGCGACACCCAGACCTGTAGAACTAAACCGTTCATCATACCTACAGTCAAACACGGTGGCGGTAGTGTGATGGTATGGGGCTGCTTCAGGACCACTTGATGACATGTGACCTTTAACAGGCTGAATAAAAACTATTCTGTAAAGAACAGGGGAACACAGTAATGTGGGAGATCCATCACTGGTTTCTAGTTTCAGATAGGACCAGGCGGGTTGAAACAGCCCTTCTATTTCTCCATAATAAGTAAAAATATTACGTGAAAGCTACTATCTGGTTATCTGTGTGGCACTGACATCTGCTTCCTTAAGTGAGAAAACAAGCAGAAATGAAAACTAGAGCTAAACAAAACAGCAAGGAGGCAAACAAACATAAATCAGCTGTGTGTTCCGCTTACTCTCAACAGGGATTGGGACTCGTCTTTTGCCGCTCCTCCTTTGCCCTCCTGCGCTCCTCCTCCTCCACCAGCATACTGCTGAGAGGGAATCTGGCCCTGCTTCTCCCCTCCTCCTCCCCCTGTGGCACTTCCTCCCGATCTCCCTCCTCCATACAGCTTGGCATCTCCCAAAAATGACTTGGTATCTCCCAGGTAAACCATGCTAGGTGAAGCCACGCCTCTCTTCTGCTGTGAGGCCTCGTGATTGGCTGAAACAAAAGACAGTGAGAGAGGGGAGGGGAAGAGAGAGGGGCTCCCACCTCCTGCTCCTCTTTCCGCTCCTCGTTCGGGTCCCATTCGCTCCTTGGGCACCCAGAGCAAACCGTGAGCCTGTTCTCCACCCCGGTCTCCCGGCCCCCGTGTCTCTCCGAGAACCCAGCTTCTCTCCCGCTCTTTCTCCTCAGCTCCTTCGCTTTTCACCACCCCACCCACCTCCTCTCTACCTCCTTCTGCTAGTCGTCCCTCGGGCGGCGCTAGGGAGTAGAGGAGGCGGAAGTCCCCCTTGCTCTCTTCTTTGATGGCTAAGGTGGAGGGAGCTGAGCAGCCATTGGCCGAGAAGGTCAGCGAGGGCGTCAGCGAGGTGGGTAAGGACCCAAACGAGGGAGACGACTCATGACAGTGGGCTGAATTAAAATGGTCGAGGAGGGCAGACGAATCAGGTGCAGTGAAGTCACAGCGTCGACAACGGCAACACGCGTGGACACGCCTGCGGAGGAAACGGCATTTTTAATCAGCAACTTTAAAACAAGAACCAGCTCATAATTACGTTTGTTCACTGAAAACTAAAAGCCACTCCATCTCTGAAGCAGCTCCCAGTAAAAGAAAACAAAACTTGAATAAATAAAAAGTGCATTTGCTCCCTGCCTGATTTCTTCTTACCACTCAGGTTTGAGTTACACGGAGCCCGTGGCCAAAAAGTGACTCAGTGTTTCGCTAAATCACAATAAATTACTGAAAAACGGTTAAGGAATGTAAATGAATCTGAACGCTGGGTACTGAATCAACCGTCACCAAACCACCTTCATTTCCTGTTGGCCAGGCCCTGAAAGGCCGGCTGTATATCCAGACCGAGACGTCCGCGTTCGTACGGGATCAGAAAACAGATCTGGCACATCTTGTGTGGGCCAGCCAGCAAAATGTTTTATCCAGCCATCAGATGAGCCTCTGTGGACCGCTAACTGGCATTTATGTTATATTTCATCATAAAACAAATACGAACCTATATGAGAGTGGAGAAGATTGTCATTAAGCTAATGATGTCATCATCACCCATTATTGGCCGAGCTCTTTTAAACTGATTTACAAACCTTTTGTCTACAGGACAGTTTGATACTTCGCATGTCGGCTTGGTAGGCGAGTCGTGTTTAATTTGCTCTTTTTCACTCAGATGCCATCAGACTCGTTTATTTTTCTCACAAACAGCTTCAGATTTTTGGATAACTTCATTTATTTTTTTACATTAAATGGTCCAAAAATATTTAAAAGATAGTTACAACCTGCTGATCTGATGCACACACACACACACACACACACACACACACACACACATATACATTTACATATATATAAATGTACACCAGTCTGTAGGCTTCAGAGTTAGATCAGTGGGAAAATGCATTTTATAACCAGCCCAGTCATTTTCCTAATCTGGCAGTATTCCATTAGCTTTAGCTTAGCATAAACAATGTAAGTGAATGGTAACAGTTAGCATTTCATGTGAAAAAGTCATGAAATTACTCACTAATGTTCCTTTTTTTGGGCGACGTCAATAATCACATTGACTGCAAATGAAAGTAATAGGTAACATTAAGGATTTACAGGAGCTGATTTAGACTTGGGACTACTTTACTGCACCGCTGTAAGTTTCAGCTGCGAGGTACAAGGACCCAAAAGACGCCCACTTCATTTCAGGTACTCTGCCGTTTTTATCAACCTACTATGCTGTTCTTCAATGAACTGAACTGGGCACCTACATACATAAGTAGGTGGAGAAGTTTGGTAGTAATCAGGCTTGGTTGTGGTAAAACTGAGCTTGGCTTTCCAAATATCGTTAATCACAAATAAATCATAATTTAAAGAGGGGTCAATTACTTTTTCCACTTAGAGCTACTTTCTGCAGTGTGCAACTTTCATGTTTACGCCAAAAAATAAACTGTTTTCTACTGTTTGTTTACCTCCTTTACGATCATTAACTCATTCAAAAGCGTCTGCGAAATGAATAAACATAACATAAACATTCACTGCCAGCCGTTTCCTGATCAGAAAAGCCCTTCGCTGCCAGCGTTTCTCAGCATTTTTACAGTTTTTTTTAAGAGTCACAGAAAGTTGCACGCTAGAATGATGTTGACGCCAAAATAAACAAAACAAAGCGGAGACTCACCTCTTACGTCAGGAAGAATTTGCGCGTTTCAAGCGTTATCCGTTCTTTCATAATCCGTTGCTGAATTGTCATCGTCAGAAACTTTTACGGTTCGCGCCTCACTTTTTTTTTACAGCAGCGGCCCAAAACGATCTCCTAACACGTAGATTTTCTGCTTGCTGATCACGTGACGTGTGACGTACGCGGATGAAGATCGGCTTTAGAGCTGAGATGTTTGTTCTCGAGGTGCGGGGGCTCGTTCCGACGCCAACACAGTAAAAACATCCTAATGACGGCTTTAACTCATTCACTGCCAATGATGACTAAACACCTATGAAAAATACCATTTTCCTTGTTTGTACATATTTGTACAGAAAACACCTAATTTAAGATTGTTAACACACTCCACTGTAATTATACAATGAAATGTCTCTGAACAAAAACCCCATACAGGGGTAAGCGTGTTTCTGTGATGAAAGTTATTACAGATTGATGGGATTCTTTCACATGGTGACATTTTTCTCCATTACAACCCTGGTCCTTTGTTCTGAGCTCTCCATAATTAAATCCTGAATTTTGTTGTCTAAAAACTTTGGAATCCTTTTAGTTTTTGATTGATTTTACTGGTACTATGGAACTTTCTGGCTTTATTTCACTTTTATTTCATCTGAGCTCCGAGACTCACAGCTTAGATTTCGTTGAGGATGCGACTGGGCTGTTAAAATCCCCGTCTGACTCTGCGTAGTCGCCCGCTTTTCCTTCTTGCCTTCTTATCCTCCCTTTCAGTGTTTTTCCTCCTCAAGTCTAATGATTCTTTCGTCCCTGTTTTATGTTTTCGCCCTCAGATAATGTCCTTTTTTTAAAGTCATTCACATATTTGTGCTCATGCTAGGGTACTTTTGTCAATCCAATGTTCAAAGGGAGAAAGGTTTGACTTTTAAATCTGCAATCCAGAGTAGTAAAATGACGTTTAGATCAACCCTTATTTTTCCACATGTATATTGTGACTCCCATGATGAAAGCTTTCAAATTATTTTCTAATCTGCAGAATTAGACTGCTGGATTATCCAGATGCATGTTCACGGTGTGAGAAGGGGCTGGCTACACTGAAAGCTGACATAAATTAGGGACTGAAGTGAATTAAGACTGCCAGATAAAATGAAGCTAATTTGCATTTGGACTCGATACACCAAGCCCGCGAAGCTCATTGCTGCATTGAGATTTCTGACTCAACTTTACCTCCATTAGAGATGAGTTTAAAAAGTAAACAGCCGTCATGTTGCAATCTTTATGTGAGACTCTGCTTACTGATTTTAAACAGGGTATCTGCAGGTTTAAGGGAGCCAAATTTAAGACTTTTTAAGACCTTTTTTAAGGCCACTTTGACCAAATTTAAGCTATTTTTAAAATTAAATTTAAGCTATAATTTCCAGCTATTGCCTGGAACCGTTGCTAACCACGTTGTGAACGTGGGATTAACCATCCAGTTACCATTAAACTTGCACTTCCCCATGGCGCAAGCTCCCACTAGCTTAACCAGCTAATGTGCTCATCTAAAAATAGCCCCCTTTCACAACCAACTGAATGTGTACGGTTCCGCTTACGCCAACATCATACACAAAAAATGCTGAACACCAACTAGAAACTCACAAAAATTTTATAGAAATAAAATAATCTTGATTATTGGGTCTTTGTTAATTTAAGAACTTTGGAAACTGTATTTAAGGATTATTTGTCATTTTTAAGGATTTTTAAGGCCTTAAATTTGGAAAAGCAAATTTAAGACTTTTTAAGGAGCCGCGGATACCCTGATTAGAGATGAGTTTAAAAAGTAAACAGCCGTCATGTTGCAATCTTTATGTGAGACTCTGCTTACTGATTTTAAAGGAAAGGACCTTGTAAGTCTCACCTACTTTGGAGTTGGGTCCATTTTAACCAGGATGTTGAAGAAAAAAACAGCTCATCTAAATGGACCCCACCAACGTTTATGCAAAAATGATTTTATTATCCGCTAATCAGAGATCGATATATTTTTTATTGGTTTACAAATAATAACCAAACATTAACAACTGAATGTTCACTAAATGCTTAGAAAACAAAGAATGCAGGACGCTACTGAAGGGTTTTATCCACTCAAAAACATGGAAGTCATATTTAAAGTGGTTTGGGTCTCTAAATGTTCATTCACTCATTTTCTTAACCACTTTTCCTCACTAGGGTCACAGGAAGCTGGTACCTAATGCCAGCAGTCATCAGGTGGGAGACATCTCCAGTCCATCACAGGGACACAGAAAGACAAACGTTCACACTCACCCACACCTAGGGGACGATTTAGAGTCTCCAAACGTCCTAACATGGATGTTTTTAGTCTGTGAGAGGAAACCGGAGAACCCAGAGAAAATCCACACAAGCTGACGCCACTCACTAAGACCGTAGCTGGGATTCAAACCAACAACCTGCCTGTGCTGCCAACTCACGTCCGTGCCAGCATTCTCTTCGATGTCTGGCGTCTAAATTTTCCACATTTCCTGGATCATGAAGTCTAAAAAATAGCAATATCACTTAAAAAATAAAATTAAAAAAATTTCAAGCTCCTAGTTTTTCATTATTTAAACACAAACTTTAAGAAAAACACAACTTCTCTGGGTTAAGTTTGTCATATGTGAGGCAGTAGTTTTTTGTCGTTGTTGATTCGATCATAAAAATAACTAAATAAAGTCAAACAAGATTTTCTATTAAAAAAGCATTTACAGAATTTTAAAACTTTCTGCTCACCTGTAGTGTCTAAAAAGATCTTCTTCCACCTCCGTCATGAAGTTACACTTTGTACATGAGTGCTGTCTCTCCCCTGCTCCTCTGCCTCCCTCTTTGCCTCCCCCAACGTCCTCCTCGGCCTTGACTCGAGGGGCAGCCCCCTTCAGGTTGATCAGGGTGTGACAGCTCTCGTAGTGTTGCAGCAAAACGTCGATGTCGGAGGTTGCAAATGCGCACTGGTCGCACAAGTGGGTGACGCCTGGAGGAGCATGAGCAATCAGGATCAGGAACAGAAGGAATGGACCGGAAAAGCAGCCGAGGCTCAGCTTTAAGTACCTTGTGAGACAACAGGATGTGAAGGGTTGGAGGGGTGAAAGGTCGAACCAGAAATCACACCGGGGTCGCCTCTCGGGTTAGGAGAGGTCACGCTCGGTGAGGTGGTGGGTTTGGAGTCCTGCTGGGGGAACTTTGAGCAGCATTTAGGGCAGGTGGACCTCCGACAAGCAAACGGGTGGGACACCTATCGGGACCAACGAGACGAGCTTAGTGAAACATCTGCTTCTGTGTTCGGATACTTTAGTGATTAGTGGAAAACGGGGGGGGGCTATACGACAAATTTGAAGCACATCAAAAAAGGGGAAGTCCCAGAATAATTGTGCATTATTAATAAAACCCTAAAATATTAACAATTGTTTTATTTATTTGTTTTTGCATTTTTAGCAGCTGCAACAGCGCTGTTTGGCAGCTGGCAAAAAGGAGGGCAGGGAGTGTGCGTGGGTAGATTAGGAGAAGCAAGGGAATTTTAACCAAGCAGTAAATTGGGACAATTAACTTCACAATCGTTCATTTATTCTAATTTTATTTTCATTGCTGTGAGTATTTTCCCAACTAATTACCAAGAAAGCACCCAAACAACATTTCACATGGGAACGAATCTCACCTCCCCCAGGTGTTTCTGTGGCTGACAGAGGCCCTGAGGACAGTACGCACAATGCTGGATGCAGCAACGGTGGATGGAGTGGTTGTGCTGGTAGTGCAGCAGCAACGGAGCTACGATGATCACATCGGCACTGTGCGCCATGGAGTAACGGAAATCACACAGCTGACAGTTATAGCTGGTGACGACTGCTTCAGGGTCGCTGCTGTTTGAGTCTCCTGGAAACAGGAAAGTTAGTGGAAATGTAACAACGGGCAGATTGGTTGGTGGTGTCCATTCGAGTCATGCTACCTTGGCTGCTGGTGAATGGGTTGGACTGGTCTTTACGCTGTCTGGATGCCACATGCTCTCCTCCATTTCTTCTCACGCCTTTATCCGTCTCCCTTTCCATTCCAACAAGAGCCAAACTGTTGGGGCTTATAGCGCCACCTGCACCCGACCTGTGTCTTTGTTCATAGTGCTCCAAAAGCTTTGATGAACCGCCCGACCCCTCGCAACTCCAGCTACAGAATTTACACCAGTAATGGGCCTGAACAGCTCCTCGGCCAGCTTCACCCGCCCAACCCGATGACTCTGAACCCGCCCTGACCGGGATGAAGTACCCAACCAAGGAGTTGTCTTCAGCTCGCACTGCCACCCGGTCGGCCATGTCCAAGGTTTGACTTCTTCCCTGCGACTGGCTGTCGTGTAAGTCATTAACAGCAAGCAGTGGAGTGGAGGGTGGACTTTTGACTTTGTTGGGGTGCGAGGACAGGAAGTGCTGTTCAAGTTCCAAGGAGTTACTTCCCATGTAGGTAAAGTTACAGAATTTGCAGCGGAAGTACTTAGTGTTCCCTTGGCAATCGGAAGTTTTGCGACCAATTCCTATTAGAGTGCCGCCCAACGTCACCTGGTTTAAGAATGGGAAAAAACAACATAAAATGTGTCAAAGATTAGAAGACATAAAAAAATATGAACATTTATTAGGTTTTTAGAAAACTCTTGGAGTTGCTGAAAGGATTTTCTTTAAAGAGCAAGTCACCCCCTACCAGAGTCTTACTCCACTCCCACTTCATGTTTGAAAAATGCAAAAAATGCCATTGCCTGGCAGACCGGGAGGGCGGAGCTACTAACAAACACACACACACACACACACACACACACACACACACACACAGGCTCACAACAGCATTGTGACATCATGATGTACCAGTTTACATCATGGCATACCTCTTAGCCAATAGCGGCGGCAGATTTAAATTCAAATACAGTGCAGAGTTTTTACCTGACAACGGCGCAACACTGACAGTTTTAGGCTGAAAATTTAAATTTTAACTAAAATACACTGAAGTGCCAGATTACTGACTACACGTGTCTGCAGCACGATTAGACACTCGTTTATTTAGTTTATCAGCAAAAAAAAGTAGATTTGGGGGTGATTTGCTCTTTAAGACTAATTAGTTGAGATTAGATATTTTCTCAGCATATTTCCAAATTTCAATCCTTCATACCAATTCCCAAATTAAAAAAAAAATACTTGGATACTTTTTCATTAATAGGCAACGTATCAATGGGGAAAATAACTCAAAACACTTAAAATGAGGGTTCGAATTACGGTGGAGCTAAGGGGAGCCCAGCACACTCGAAAGGGTCCAACAGGTGTTTAAAGTGCTATACAAATAAAGTTGGTATGGCATGGGCTAGGCAATACTACATTTGTCAGAATACAGGTGAGACGATACGATTTAGCGTGACACTAAAAGCTAGACGATATTTGCAATTTTTATGAATTTTATTAGAAATAGAGGACAGACACTTCCAATTCGCAAGAATTCGTTTAACCAGAGTAAAGTTGGTAAACTGCTGCCACCTAGCAGCTGGAGTTTGAAATGCACCCAAAAACAAAAATATATGTTTTCATGTAAATCTGATTTTAAAAATGATATACCACTTTAAGGATCAATTCATCATCATAACAAAAATTGCAATTTTTCAGTGCATTTTGTTATCTTACATCCCTAATTTGTATATATTTTACTCCAAGTGGCAATTGTGTAATTTGTTTGTTGTTTACTTGTCAAACCATGTTTGGAAAATATTTACAATGTAGATATATACCTATCGTAATAAAAATATGGTAAATAACACTAAATATAAGAATGATAGTATAAAATCTACAAGGAGACTGTGGGGTGAAGCTAAAAGAGCCGCTTTACTCTGCCCAGCCCATTAGTAGACCCAAACTTTAATCGTTTAACTGAGCAGAAATGAATATGGTGGGATCAAAGATGCAAAGGACAAATAGAACAAACTGAGGCAAAGTGTTTAAATCCAGAAACAGAAAGAAAGATAAGAGAGATGAATGAAAAGATTATTGAGTAGTTACGGAAAAGATTAAATAAAGCCTGAAAAGTGAGGGGAAAAAAACAAGTCAAAACAGTGAAAACGGAGACAAAAAGAGTAATAAGAGGCACACAGAGAGAAAATCCAGTTAAATATGTCTGACAGCAGTTTTATTAGACTCCCTAACAGTCGATTAGAACTACAGCTTCCCTGTCTGCTTCTTTCAATACCGTCTCCCCTTTCCACCTTCATCTCTATCTGTCTCTTACTCCTTTTTTTCTATCATTCCCTGTGCACTTTTTTTTTTCAGGATTTCATTGGTTGACAGGGATTTGTGTCTTAGCTAATGACAACATGGAATTTTCCGAACGTGGGCAGGAGGGAGTAAAACTGAGTGAAAGATGGAGAGAATAGAGATCCCTTTCATTCAAAGTTTTTTTATAGATATAAACTTTCACTTTTTTCTTCGTGATGACGATTTAAGCCCACTGGATTTTCCTTTTTCAGACTCGGTATGTCTGCGAGTATCCTTTCAACTCATGCACATGAGTTTCTCGCAGACTGCTGCTTTAAATCAAACTCCTTGACCTCTCCTCTCAACGTTTCAGTAAACTATCCCATTTGCGTGTTTTTTTAATGCACAACTTTAGTTTGCAAATTTCTCATCCTTGACTCAGACACTTATAAGCTGAAGTAGTCTCTGTGTACATAACAGGCAAATTATTAATCATAATGTGGAGGTTGTTAAAATGCATCTTTAATGATAGAAAAACATAATTAAAGGTCAAAAAGTTACTTTGGTTTCCCTTCAAGGTTTTCAGATAACTAGATAACCAACAGTTTTTATTCTCATCGCTGTTTGAATGTGGGACTACTTTCTTTTGAGCGTAATGACAAAGTAGTAAAGCGGCTCTCACGTGATCGTTTTAGACCAATGCCATGCTCGCATTTAGTAAACAGGAAGCCAACATAGCGGTGTACTTGGAGTTGGAAAATAGCAGCAATTATGATTTTATTACTTTAGAAACTCCGAAATTAAGGAACAAAAATTATTTTTATGGAAACGTGTTTGATGTCATTCGGGACTAGTTTTTGTCTAAATATATTTAAATAAAAAATGCTCCTACTAGTTAGTGTTTCCAAGTCTGTGTGCATTTTGAAGTTCCCATGCTTCAACAGCTCTTCTTTCACCATTTAAATGAATTATCCCCGTTTATCCTGTTCCCATCAACTCTTGCTGCTGGCTTATAACTGCATGGCTGTGCACCTTCCGTATTTAACATGAACGTATGTTCGAATTCAGAATCTGGAGCTTCGTGCTGCTGCAGCAAATCTTTTTTTATTTCTGAGTCAGGAACGTTTTCGTTCAGAATCGCCACTTCTTGATTCCAGCAAGAGGCACTGCTATTAGATGGATGCGCTAGGAGGGCATAGTTGGAACAGTAATAGCACCTTTTCTTTTCAAATATCTTCTTTTTGTAAGATGAAAATATAAAGTTTAGACCTTATAAGGGCTCCAACATTTGTTTAGATGCCCTTAACATTATACTTTTGAGAACAAAAAGATGTGTTGGTTTTTGAAGAAGGGCAGCAAAGAAGCAAAGTCTATCTGAGATTAAACATCAGGGAACAGTTTTATTCAATGTACTCCTCGTCCAACTTTAACTGCCACTTTATTTTGAGCTTTAAACAGTTTGTACCAATTGTGAACAAACAAAGTGACCAATGTAAACACAATACCTGTGTCTTGAGATGTGAAGTTATTTAAAAAATATTGGCCTGAAATTCAGGGTCTGACTTTTCGACATAACACTGCTAATGATATTGATAAAACTATCTTCATAAGCTTAGAGAAAACTTAACCCTAATTTTAAAAGTGTAGTAGCAATAATAGTAGTAGTGGTGGTGGTAGTAGTAGATCAAAACAGTGACATTGGTGTGCAACTCAATTAGAAAGTTGATACTAAAAGGTCGAAATAAAGTACTAAACCTTGGGTTAGTCTATAAATAGATTAACGGCTTTTTGTACCCCCCCAAAAAAAGTATACATTAATAAAGGCCTGACCACAAACTGGGTTTGCTAATTTGCCTGTGGTTAAAGACAATCTTTTTTTCTAACATGTTACATTGTTTTATGTCTCGTCCCTGACCAAGTAAAATTTAATTGAAATCTGCAAAGGTATGACTTGGCAGAAATACAAATCAACCGGAAGCGTGAAAGATTTCTAGGATTGGACTGCTAAGAACAAGGATATAGTCATTTTCTCTGATGAATATCTCTTCTGATTATTTGGGACATACAGTGAGTCCTGCATCCAGCTAGATCATAAAAAAGGAATGGTAACTAGACATCATCCAAGAGGAACTCCGCAACCACCCAAGAGCAGTTTGGTGATGGCCAAAGGCATTTACAACATGACTAAACAACATGACATGAGATTTGTATCATGACTAAATGGCAAAATTGTGTCCCGGAAAGTCACCAGACTCATCATAATAAGAACTTGTCAATCCTCAGGAGGAAGGCAGACAGACAAAAATGCGGGAATTCTAAGATTTGATTTTACAAGCACGGACTGCCACCAGTCAGGATTTGGCCTTGGGTGTACAGCAAGTACGGCAGCATTTGAAAAAAAGCAAGAGTGAACTAACAGGACAAATATATTAATGTTAGCGGAGAAAAGTTACAGAGAAAACACTATTCCAGGTACAAACTTAGAAGAAAACAAACTGTTAATGTTTTTTGCTAAAGTAGATTTACCGGTAAACGGTATTCACAGGAAGTCTACAAAGATCTGTGTGCGGTTTCAAGAAAAGATATTTTAGAAGTTTTTGTTGACGGTTTGCATGGTTATTATTTGCCAGCACAGCAAATCAAAGTTAAGTGTTTTTCTCCTGCCCAAGTGTACAGCTGTTGATTTCCATGATTAGGACCCCTCTGATTTTAAACGCGGCAGAAAACAACAAAAATCAACATTTTTAAACTACAAATGACAGACGACCATACGAGTGAAAATTACTGCAACTTTTTAATGTCCAACATTTCCATTATTATCCTATATTGGATTTTTTTTTAGAAATGCTATTCCTTCTAGTTTCCCCCATACAATCCTTATGAAATTAAAAATTTGCAAAGCGCAAATTTGCATTTGATGCGTCTTTGTGTGTGTGAGGGATTGAGGAAGCAGATGATGTGTATGTGCAGACACGTAAAAGCCCATCTGCCAGGTGTCCCACCTGTCTGTCTGTGTCAATCCATCTGTCAGTCTATAAAATTTTACAACGCTCACTATTTAAATAACACACTCCCAATGTAACAAATCGCTGGAGCCAGTAAATAATTTCCCCCGTTGTGAGCCTCACCTCATACATTTATTTCCGTGTTGCTTATAAAGCACAGTTTATAACGAAAACTGATTAAATCAACAAGAAAATCTTCATTATGGACACTCATACAGGTGATAAAAGTCTCTGCATACGATTTACTCACCTGTACGTCGTATGTGCCATTCATCATAATCGTCCTCTGCTGCTGACTCTGTGCATCGCCTCTGGTTTTCCCCAAGTCTTTGGTTTGACTTCTCTGCCCCTGTCCTTCCAGCAAGTCTGAAACACAAGAAGGGTGGAAACACATAAAGAAGGGTCAAGGTGCTCGGAGCAAAGACAAGCTGAGGACAAGTGACATCTGACGGGAAGGAAATCGCTCAGATCAAACAACCAGTAAACTGTGTTTGCAGCTAATCTGGAGCTTGTTGACTTATTGTTTCTATGATAAAAGTACAAACATCATTTTAAAAAGGCACCTCATGGCCTTGCATGTGAACAGAAGCATAGAAACACTATACAAAGTCCCAGTAGGATTTCTGCAGCCCAGTGAACCAAGAGTCCATAAAGCAGCAATCCAGAGTTTATCTCTCGTCAAGAATTACGTATGACTCGTTAGAAATTCGTAACAGAGATAGTCTGACCATGTACTGGGATAATGCAGGCAATACGTCAACATTTTTTTGGGCTAATTCTGCCCCCGTCCCGTAGTGCCCCGTGCAATTATAAATGAACGCCGTTCAGCATTAGCCAAAAGCAGAGGGTGCGCAAGCGTTGGAGGACTTTCCTAAGCCGGGCGTACACTGTGCGACTTTTTCACTCGCAGCGTTCAACTTCAGCTCAAACTGTATGACTTCCTCGCAGAGCAGATCTCACGAGTCATGTGCTCACACTGTACGACCCAGTTCTCGGATGCGACCTGACTGCTCACACTGTACGTCTGGTAGCAACACGTCGGCCCTAAAAATGTGCTAAAAATAGCAGTTTTTACACAACACGTCAGACTTTGTCGTGTTTTGCCTGTTGTCCTTCGGGAGTGCTGCAGGAGGACACACAGGTATTTATGGGGGTTGGATGAGGAAAACGAAATAAAGTAAATCTGTGTTTTGTGATCAGTTTAATTTGACATGAACACAACAAACACGCTTTCTTGACAATCTTTGTGAGTAAAAAAAACGCGTAGAAACAAAAACGAACAGCGTGTGTTATTAGGGAAATAGCGAGCGACCGGCGTTGATGCAGGATTGCGCATGCGCCGTGAGCGGTTCCGATACTTTTTGGATCGTAGCTGCTCGCAGCGCTGCTTCAACAGTGCGATACCCTCACGAGGGACGAGCGAAATATTAAACACACCAGAAGTCCGTGCAACCTCACGACTGCTGATCGGCAGCTGGTCACGTGGTGTTAATCGCCTCTCGTAACCCCTGTACACTACACGACCGCTCGGCGCAAAACTCGCTCCGATGTCGTGGCTTCTCGCACAACTGGAAAATCGGCTCAAAAAAGTGAAAAAGTCGCACAGTGTACGCACGGCTTTGGACTGATGACGAACTGGCGACTCCTTTAATGAACAAATAAGCCTTTGAAATCTCTAAATTTATAACAGCATATTGTGAGAATATTTTCTCCCTCTTTTGGCCGGTTACAAATGTGCATTCGTGAATGAGACGCGTTGCTTCCAGCCGTAACCACGGAAGCACGGAGACGGGCTTACGGTGTAATGCTTTTTTATGTCTCTAGATGGAGCCATTGGAGAAGTAACTCCAGATCATACCTGAATCGTGATGTGTCTCATTTCATGAAACTTTGAGCACCTTTGAATTACAGAAGACAGGATAGAAATTAAGGATGCAACTCACTCACATTTAGTAGCGATAAGTCTGCAGGACAAAAATCTGACACCTAGCATTTAGTCGTACTTCTCCTAAAGAGCAGAAATTGTTCTTTATCTCACTGAACTCCAAAAGTAATGTGAGCTTAGTTTTTGTTAAGTTATTTAAAAAAAATAAAATGTACAACCCCAATTGTTGCTGGAGTACATACTGACCACTTTCCACACTGCTACTTTCTTCTACCACAACTCTTCAGTTGCATTATTTCCTGTTACTTCAGCTGTTAAATTAATGTGTTTTTTTCTTCTCCAGAGAAACTCCTCCAGGTCTGACTTTCTGCTGAGCACTCATACCTTCCTGGAGGGAGCCATCAGCTGGAATACTACTGCCATCCAGTGAACATTTTCCCTATCCTGAAATTAACCTTCTCCTTTCCTTAAAAGTGTGCTTAACTTGTTTAATCAATACATTTGTAGTGGTCTCTTGTAGCAATGAATGCTTTGTAAGTTGTATTCTCGGGTAAAAAGCTCAGGAGCGCCTGTTTCAGGAACTTTAAGTGAGTCACGGCAGAGCAGAGATTCAGACAAAAGGATCTGAATTCTTATTTCCTGATATTTGGACATCTCGCCTCGGACTGGCCAACAGCAATGCAACTCTACCACTGACTTGCAATATGGATGTTCTATCTTCACAAATAACACAAGTCTGGAGGAGTTCTGCCGTTCTGCTAATGCTAATTGTTAGCTTCTACTAGCCAAACCGTGCTCTGCGGTTTCCTGGATGCTAAAACAAAAAACAGCCTTCCCCGTCGCGAGTCAACATGGGTGAATCCATGAATGTTAAGTGACAGCGTGACGTAGAGCTCTCAGGATTTTCTAATCCTAGAGTTTCACCGTCTATTTTCTATCAGAAGCTAAAGCAGGAGATAGATGTAGGAGACTATTTTTCATGTTCGGCCTGCAGGAAAAACTCAGTGACAGATTAAAATCAGAAATAACAGAAAGCACTACTACTAGTGAACCCATTTCTTTTTTTGTGCATCTGTTCTGTCGTCTCAAACCCGGAGCTGGTCGTGAAAAACTGCTTCTCAGGTTCTGCTGGAGGTTTCTTCCTGTTAAAGGGGAGTTTTCCTCTCTATTGTCACTACATGCTTGCTTGGTATTGGGACTGCTTTAAAGTCAATGACAAAACAGGTCAGTGACTCGATGCAATCTGCTGGGTTTCCTTGCATAAAAAACTAATCGGAATAATAAACTGAACTCAGTGACTAAGTAGTGCATCTGGAATGCGTGGCTATGAATGTGTGTGGATGAGACATTCTGATGGAGAAAAGCTTTAGGTGGTTTCTACCCAGGTTGGTGTGTTGGGGAGCCATGTTGTGAAGGGCCAGGATCTGCGTGTCGAGCGCCGCGTCCTGCCTCGTGCGGTTGTGCAGACCCAGGTGATACTTCCTAAAGTGCTTCACCAGGTCGGTGGGGTCGTTGCCGTAGTAACCGTAACCACACACATTGCACTTGAAGTCCTGGAGTTTTGGAGAGGGGCTGGATGATAGAGGAGGGGTGTCGTTTGTTGACTTCCCCTTTCCTTCCCGTCTTGGAAGGAGTTGGGGGCCTGAGGAGAGTGGAGGGGTGAGGTGGGTCGCCTCCCCTCTGTCTCTCAGCCTCCTCTCTCCCTCCTCGCCATCATCTGGCTCGGACTCGGGTCTCTCAGCTTGTCTTGCCCTCCCCCCTTCGGGCCTCCCCCCTCTCTCCTCGTTACTGTAGCGATCGCTGGCAGATGAAGGGGAGGCGAAAGAGGAGACGCTCTCTGCCTCCTCCTCCTCCTCTTCATCTCCTAGGATCCGTTCCGAGGACTCCGGTTCGGATGGTCGGTTTATTCTATCGGCCTCCGCTCCAACTCTCTCCTCCTCCTCTCCTTCCTCTTCTTCCTCTCCTGTTGGCTTCTTCCCCTCTTCTTCCTCCTCCTCCTCACCTCCCACACTCCGGATAGGGGGATTCTTCTTCCTCACCATCTCTACAAACACAACAAGGATGGAAAATTCTAATTAACAGATATTCAGTTAAGCATAAATGAGGAAAGTATTTGACAAAATGTCAAAAAGGTCAATAAAAATAATAACAATAATAAAACACCATGTTTTGTATATAATGTTCACAGATTAACTTTAATTCAATTTACGAACGTCTGTGAAAGCTCAAATCTGACGACCCTCAACCACAAACCTCTTCAAAGCAAAGCAGACAACAAATGAGAAAAGATCTCAGCTGAGAGAGGTTTTCCGGGGGGGTGGGGGGGGTGGGGGTTTGAGATGGATGTCGTATCTCAAACATGTTGGATGATTTCTTTTAATCGTTATGGAAACCATCCATGAGAATCTCCGGCACATGACCACATCTAAAACAAAAACCATATCAGAGAGACTCGAGCCGGCGAGGGCGAGGAGGGTGAGGCGCAGGGAGGCATGGGAGGGAGGCAGAAGAGGGGAGCGCACGATCCAACACACACAACCACATCAAGCCAAACACCGCGTATCAGAGAGATGGATGAGCGAGGCCGTAGACGCCGATTTATCCCCTTCAGCGCTCCGAATTCTTCTTCCCCGCATCTTTCTCTGGTTGCCTTTCATTCCTTTACGAGCTCGTCTCTTCCCGTTTCTCCTTCTCGGCCTCCAGTCTTTTCTTGTGTTCCACTTTTCTCCCTCCTTTCTCTTTTATCAGCTGTCTACCCTCTTCGATTCTCACTTTTTTACTATTTAAGCTAACGTCATCAATAGCATTTTTCCTTCTGTTCTTATTTCCTGTTTTGTTCTCCAACACCCCCCCACCCCCACCCCTTTCCCCCTTCATTCCTTATAATCACTTTACAGAGCCATCAAACAACAACCCATGTGTTTTATGTTAAACCAGAATCTCCCTTTTGTTCCGAGAGAGAACAATTGTGGTCGCGCGCTTCACAACAGTCGTGACAGAGACATTCTGCGTGGGTTTATCTGCGAGAGTTTGCGTGTTTATTTGTGGTCGCCCGCTTCGTATTCAGCTGTAAACACGTTAAACCCGATGGCTCATCATATGTCTGTGTTTTTTATTGTAAACATGCTACAAAAAAACAAAAAGGCGCCCGATAGACGCCGAAACTGATCACTTTTAGATCAACGCAATGTGACAGGAGGCAGAAAAAGATGGTGAATGTGTGTCTTTGAGGGAACAATGCATATTTGATGATCCATCTGGAGGAGAAACGGCGTGTGCAGAAATACGAGCGTCTCTCTGGAAAATGCCTATTGTTATTTACTGATAGCAACAGTTGAAGCTCCAGACAATCAGACACACACTTCTGCTGAAGAGGAGTTCAGGAAAGCCTGTTGGATGCAGATGGAAGATTTTTAGCATGATTATTTTGAAAAAAAAAATAAAAATCCTCGAAGTAAAGAAAATGTGTTTAAAATACACAAACGTGCTCACATGCACAAATAGTAAAGTCAGAGGCATTTCTTTGTTTAGTTGCATCATTTTCGCCACAGTCATTATTAATAATCACATTTTTAACAGGAGCATTCATAATGTTACACATAGAATACAATTACAACATAATAAATGCACAAATATGTAGTTCTAGTCTGCAGGACGAAAACAAGATGCATCCAGCATTCAGTCGGTTGCTTTATTAAATGGAGATCAATGATCTGGCCTACGAGAAGTTTTACTGGAGTGCAGCTTTCATGGTTGTATTTTTAGATATGGCTTTTATTTGTTTTTAATTATTCAATTTCTTTTTGTCTTTTAACTTTGATTCTGTATTTTATTTTATATTTTTATGCCTTTTAGCAGATTTTAATTCCTGTGTCGTTTTCAGCTCTTGGGCCAAGTTGATGATCTTCAAATATGATTAGCTCGATTTTATTTACTTTTGTTTCATTTAAACTATTCAAGCTGGGGTTTCGCACAGGGCTCTAATTTTGAAGAGCTTTTAGAGGAAGTTGTGTTTCATTTTGGTTCAACTGAAGCTGTCAGGATGGTAAATGTCCTGCATTTGTAGAGCGCCTTCTAGGGTTCTACAACCGCCCAAGGCTCTTCACAACACACACACACACACACACACACACACACACACGACACACACACACACACACACACGGTGATGAGCTACAATGTAGCCACAGCTGCCCTAGGAAGCTAGGCTGCCGGAAGCGAGGCTGCCCGACCACTGGCACCACCAGTCCCTCCGACCACCACCAACCAGCAAAGTTTGAACCTTCCAGTTACCGGACAACCCACTCTTGCTCCTGAGACACCCTAAAACTACTAAAAGTGGTGTCCAGAATCCAGGTAGGGCTGGACGATATAGAAAAAAAGGCTCATAGATATATGTTAAGTGCAGACTTAACCATCTTAGGCCATTACTTTATCAGGGTTTCCCCCATAAAATGAGTTAAGCCCGGCGGCTTCGGCCGGTAGCGCTCCGTCCCGCAGGGCTCCTCTGTGGGGGGGGGGGGGGGGGGGGGGGGGGCACTGTTGTTTTGCATCAGCTGATGGAGGGCTCTAGTTTCGTTGCACCGTTCGTGTCAGCGGACACGGTGGAGTCGGGGAGGGGGGCGGGGCATGACGCTTAGCCTGGCGGGTGGGCAAGCAAAGCCTGGCGGGCTGCTAGGCTTATAAAGCGCTGGGGGAAACCCGGACTTTATGATAAAACTAGTTAGTTGCATTACCAGACCACCGTTGTTTGTTTTTGTCAGACTTGTAAGAATGAAAATTTTGCCACACTGGTGAAGTAATGCGACCTCTTTTTGGGACAAGTTCTTCCACCTCTCCTTGCTGCAACACCTAGTTTAGCTCACACTGCTGTCTGGTCAGGTTTGAGAGGAGAGGGCTTGGTGACGGAGCATGCATGGATCTGTGTTTGAATGTTGGGTGTAAGC